ACTACTACTACTACTACTACTACTACTACTACTACTACTACTACTACTACTACTACTACTACTAAGAGACTTGTCAAATTAAGATCTTCTAGATGTTGTATACACATTTTCCTTTCCTTTTTCTAGCAATAAAACGTTTTAATCAACAAAAGCCGTCCAATTGACTTTTATGGTTGCAAGTTCTAAATAAAGCCGTTCCAAAGTCTTTTTTGTTTGTTAATCAGAATTTTCACTGATCAGATATTGAATAGACTCTTAAGGATATTCTCAGAGCAGTCCAACGTGGAAGACAAAACAAAAGAATGTTGATCTCTTGAGGATTGAATATTAAAACAAAAATTCTTTCCAATTCAGCTGTTTAGGGAATTGCTGCAAGTGATTTATGCAAAAGACGTTTACTGCCTCAGAAAACCAATCCAACAAATGATTAAATTTGTGACTAATCAATGCCAAGCCAACAAATTCTCAGTGCTTTCAACAAGCACTTTTTACAATCTGAATAAGGGTAACCACTATAGTTTATTCCCTAAACACGATCCAGACTCAGAAACTTGATTGCCTGTTAACTAAACAGACATTAATCTAACAATACAATCAACTTCACTTTGTTTATGATTTGATTTAGAGCATTTTTGTTAGCTTAATCAAGACACAAGTAAAGAGATTTATCGATAGCTTTGTGTGCAAGTGTTTGGTGTCTCTTAAGACAATGCGTTGAGCAGTTGAATGGACGTTTAGGCTGTTAGAAAAACAAAAGAAGAGCATTAGAGAGACCTACACGTGGGCAATTCAAAGTAAATAGCTTTAGTATATACAATAACTTACATATAATGGAACACCTCAAGCCATATTTGTATAAATAACGGTGATTTAGATTTCATGAGTTTATGAATAAGTAAAGAGGACATTGCACCTCTTAAACTATGAACACGGTGCTGTAAAAGCTACACAATTATTCCAAATACATTCTGTTTCTTTTACAACAGTAAAACCATACTGTTACATCTCTTCTCCTGGTTTTTGAAGTTTGCTAAAAACTGTAACAACTTTATTATCTTATTTATATTTTAAATTCAAAAATTCCAATCACCATTTTTGTAATTTTAGCTCAAAAAAACGTGCTGGTTTGATCAAAGATCCTGAATAAAACGTACGATATTACATTAGAATTACATAGTTTACATTACATCATTTTTAAAATGATAAAATTGCTAAATCATATTCATGTCGAGTTCGATCTTTTAAGAGGTGATCCATTGATTCAGTTTACAACATTTTTAGTTAATGTGCTCTTATCAAATACTTGACGGTCTTCTTGGCTCCATTTCTATTACCTGATATTGAGTTACATGACTATATCATATTTGTCATGCGCAACCGACGTTACAGAAAACATGCAGCCATTGGTTGTTTTATTCCTCGATGAAATCAGTACACCTAAGTTATATGATCCCCTTACAAACTGCCACTGCAACATTTTTCCAAGCCCATGCAAAAATGGACCCTTTCTCCAAATTATCTAGGATGCGCCTGCAAAAACAAAAAATAATCAGATTTTTCTTGATGGAATTTCTTTTGTATTTCCATATTAGCATCCAGCATACTTTTGACTGAATAGTTAATTGTTTTCCCAAAGTGTTTTGTCAAGTACATTTCGATTGGCTGCAGCTTTGAAGTGGCATTTGGACTAAAATCGTTAAAAATCTAAACTCATTTATTCCCCTCTAAATGATTTGATAATAAATATAATGAGGCTAAAACAGGCATAGATTTTCTTTTTAAGCGATTTTTGACCGCAAAAAAGGTTTTAATTAAAAGCTAAACCATCCTCCTAGTCGCCATTCCTTTTCTTTTCTCAGTGCCCAAAAGTCATTAATTTGTCAAACTTTGCATATATATATTAGCTACGAGTTTTTGTTGTTGTTTGGGTTGAGTAAGTGACGCCATATCTCCCCCATTCCTCTCCGAAACTATTCTTCTTGCGCTGAATGCTTATTGCAACGATCTTAAAGGCGGGCGGGAAAAATCGTAAAATTCGCACCCTTTTTCTTGAAGAAAGTATTTGAACCAATGATTATTTATGTCTTGAAGATTGCTTTAGCAAACTTTTGGATGGCTTCAAAGTTTTGAGCGATTTTCGTCCAAATAGACCTTTAAAACTCTCCACGTGCTTACGTACGAGAGTCACGTGAATTTTCGCATCTGAGCTGGAGGAAATTACATTTCTAGCTAATTAACTTTGTTCTGTTTAGGAAATTTTGTCTTTGAAACTCTTCATATCGTCTCAGTATGAACTGAACATTTTTGTTTCGATTTCAGGTTTTCTAATCCCCTATATGAGATCTGGAGGCGTAGCGATGGAGAAAGGAGAAACAAATGGGAAAACTTTGCAGTTGATAATGCATTTAAAAACCCGTTGCTAGGCGGCCGATAAAGTCTGGTTTTTATTTACGTCGGTGTCACCAATCTGCAGTGGCCCTTGAGGGACATGCAGCAAGTTGGACGAGTTGCTAGAAATAAGAATTGAGTTGCTGCATGCTCTACGAAATGCTGCAAATAAGAAAAGAGTTGCTGTATTTTAGATGAATCGCTACAAATAAGAAACGTGACAAGTTGCTGCAAATGAGAAACGAATTGCTGCATGTTAAACGATAAGTACTGCGCGAGCAGTTTAACTGCCATTTGGGACGGAGTTCTAGTTTAGTTTACTTTTCGACGATTTCTCAGCTAAAACGAAGAGCAATATTTCTAAGCTACAAATAGTACAGCAAGGGATTACCTCACTTCCGGCGACGGAGTACGAAAAAAAGCTGTTTCATTATTAGTACTCCTACCCCTAACGCAATATTTTCAGTATTGATTTTACATGAAGTGAATAGTTTAATGGTAAAATATTTTTATATGATTTGAGCGATGTATCTTGGAGACATCAAGGTTAAGACTTTTAATATGCTAATGAGTGTGACATAGGAGGCATTTGGTTTCACTTGTCATCATGTGTAAATTGAAAAACTAATTGCTTTTAATTTTTTTTGCAATAACCTTTCTATCAATCCTTAGGCCCGATCCATACGTCGCGCTTTTTATGTGCCGAACCTAATAGTATCTATTTGGCACATGAAAGGCTCGACGTATGAATCAATTAAGTTCGGCACAACTGGATTAGGTTCGACACGGTACTGAGCTCGACCGCGCCAGTCGAGCCGCACGGCAAAAGTTTGACACTGATTCAAACGTCGAGCTCCTGTTGTGCCGAATCAAATGCATAGATTAAAATTAGATGAACCCGGACTTAAAAAGCAGCGGTATTTGGTAATGAGTATGCGCGATACGGTCTTTTTTGTTTTTTGTTTTTTTTTGTTTTTGTTTTTGTTTTTTTGTTTTTTGTTTTGTTTTGTTTTGAATCTTCTGTTGGTGTACTTAGTCCAAACCGTCTCCCACCACCCGGCATTTCTTGAGAGGCGGCGACACGATCTCACAACGGTCCCCGAAGTGTATTTTGTAAGGAAAGAAGCAACAGCATTACAGCGAAACTGGCTATATGTCTTCTTCTGCTAACAAGTAACAGCTTAGACTGCATGATATTTTGCCTTCTTGCCCTTGCATGTCGAATAGCACGGAGAAAAAGTAGTCTTTTTTGATCGTCCGCCATGTTTGTTTTGATTTGAATTGTTTCAATTTACCGTAATTCCGCTGACTGATTTTACCGCTTACTCATGCTCAGAGTAATTGGCTCAACACATTAGGTGCGACGTATGAATCAACGTCGATCCTATTGTAATTGTGTCGACCCAAACAGGATATTAGGTTCGGCACATGAAAGCGCGACGTATGAATCGGGCCTAAGTAAGACAATGATAATGTACAGGTTTTTTTTATTGAACCAGACAATTTTCGTATTTTTTTATTAGGTAGATCCCAACTAATTCATAGCGATTATTCATTTTTGCTCAACTTTATTCTTTATAAACTAGCGCCTCAATTTAACTGGATTTTTCATATTTAACTTTATTTTCATATTTTCTAAGCGTTTGGCCTGTATATATTATATTTTAAAGCCTCAATTTATACAAACGGTAGTGCATTGAAAAAGCCAACAACTCCGAGTATATAGAATGCAAATATAGCAATGTTTAATTTAATTTTTTTAGAAACTTTAGAAAATTCGATGCCTTTGAAACTGATATAGATTGTAAATAAAAGGTGAAATTTTAGATTATGGAAAATAGAAAATATCTGTCAGCTAGTTTTGGAGAAACTATATCAGCATGCAGTAGCGTGGTAAAATCCACTATTTTTAATTAAACACGCAATATTGAATACTTGGCTAACGGTCGTGTCAATCATTAAAATGCAAATACAATAATTTGGTCTACAAAGGCTTATGATTTTTCAAAGTTTAGGTCTGGCTTTAGAGATAATTTTAAAAATCCGATTTCTTGCAAAGAAATGTAAGACACAGAGCTTTGCATGCTTATTTCATGAGGTTTATTTCATATGTACTGAATTCATTTTTTATATGCTCATGAAAACAGGTGCACCGAACTTGAATAATTTGTTAGTCTGAGGATGTCAAGGCTGCACGACTTCTTACTTATTAGATCAGTACGACGGCAAGGATAAGAACAAATTAGGTCATCCTTAATCACCGGTAATTTTTACTAGTACCCAAAATAACCACGAAAAGAAAAGAAAAGGTTACCTGTGAGCAGCGTTACTGGACCTCTCTCAACTCCCCACACCATGTCATTGAATACAACGGTTCTCCTTGCTAATGCGACTTTTTCCAATTTCGTGCAAGAAACTCTTCCAAACAAGATCATTAAGGTAATGGTGTACTGCATACTATTTGTAGTGTCATTCACTGGTAACCTGCTTATTGTATGGGCAACAAGTAGAGACAATCGACTAAGAAGTACGACCAATATTCTGATTGCCAACATGGCGGTCAGTGATCTTCTCGTTCCATTATTCTCGACGCCAAGAAATATCTCCTTTATCATCTTTTATCGAGGAATATGGCTGATTGACGGTGACTTTGGACTTGCTCTTTGTAAGCTCGCATTTTACCTGCAAGACGTTTCTTTAGGTGTTTCGATTTACAGCTGTGTGTTTATCGCTCTCGATCGCTTCTACGCTGTAGTTCATCCACTCAGAGGAGGTTTGAGCAAGGGAAAACTCAAGTATATCATGGTAGGGATCTGGATGTTTTCCCTGGCCATGTTTTGTACATATTTCTTTACTTTTACGCTCGTAAAGACAGGAGATTCCACACGGTGCATCATGGATTTCACAAGAATCGGTGTAACAACAATCCTACTCTATAGAACTTATTATTTTGTAATCATTGCGCTTAATTTTGGAATCCCATTACCTATCATCTCTTTCCTCTACTTACGCATCGTTCTCAAGCTCCGACAAACTGCAGTACCAGGACAAGCAGGGAACATTTCCTCTGTGAGGGAGCGTCAAAACAAGAATGCTCTCAAAATGTCCGCCGTTATTGTCAGCGTTTTCTTCCTTAGCAATTTACTTTTAGTAGTAGTCTATATTCTGACAATTTTTGGAAAACTCGATAGCTTATCATCGCCTGCAAAGATCGATATATTTTTCTCGGCGTCATTCATGGCCGAATCGAGTTGCTGCTACAACTTCTTCATCTATTTGGTGTTCACTAACGTTTATCGACAAAATTTCAGAAATATGTTTTCAAAATGCACCTCTGTCAATCCTTGTTTAGGAAGACTTCGCACCAATTCCTTTTCTCTTGGGAGTGTGGCAACAGTCGCTGAACAGGGACAAGTCAACGTGATTAGAATACATGACCATAATTAACTTGGATACTAAGGCGGGACAAATCAACTTGATAACTATAACTGACCTAAATTAACATGGATATTGTATGAAACTCACTAAGGTTATGGTATGTATGGTAAACTTATAATAAGGCCGGAGAAGTACGCTTAGGCTAAGGTCAAGCGTCGAACTTCACTTGAGCCATAACTGAACGAAATAAGTTCATGTGAAGTTCGACGTTTGAATTGGCCCAAATAAGCTCGACCATTTGAATTTGGACCGATTTAGTCGAACTTCACTGACGACTTGGTCAGTCGGGAAGAACGACTTTAGATCGAGGTGCTTATGAGACTCAGAAATATGTTGCCAACAATAGCTAAGTTAAGGATTTATAAATCATTTATTCTATCGCAACTTACGTATTGCCATACCGTCTGGCACTTCTGTCGCGCCTCGGATACTAGGAAGCTAGAACCATTGCAAGAACGCGCATTAAGGGCCATTTACTGCGATAGGAGTAGCTCATACGAGCAGCTTTTAAAGGAGGCAAAACTTCCAACATCGCAAAATTGTAGGCTACAGGATATAGCGCAAATTATGTATAAGGTCAAAAACCATCCGGCTCCACCCTTTATCTGACCGTTTTCATGGCAATGGGTGTAGGTATGACCTTAGAAATTCAGATGACTTCTCAATACCAAGATTAAACACTATAATATATGGGAGGCACAGTATTAGGTATATGGGTCCTTTCATTTGGTCAAAGCTTGATAAATCGCTCAAAATGATTGAATCAATTAATATATTTAGAAATCAAGTAAGGAAGTTGGACTTGGCCATGACTATCTCTACTCAGGAGTGTATAGACTGCTTTTTGTGTCTAAATTAATTCATGTCCCTACTTGATCTATTGAATAATTCAATTTTATAGAGTTTAGGTATTTTAAAATTGTTGTTGGTCTATAATTTGTCTTAAAACTATTTTTTCTGTGCATTTGAGAGCCGCATTTCCGAGTAGTTTTGCTTTGAAATCAAGCGGGATTGCTGTGTTGTGTACACGGACGCCCGTACGACGTATGTACGTACGGAAGTGACGTAGTAGTCAAGCCATGAAAAATCAACTCGATGGCTTACCATCTTTTCTTAAGTATGGTGCTCAGCTAATAATTAACTATGGATTTTAAAGGATTTTATTAGGGTTAGATAGGTGTCTCCAATAAGTTTCTTAATTGTAATTTAGAACGAAAGACACGTTAATAAAGTTATTATTATTATTGTGAATAATTATTCGCGAAAGTGACGATTTTTTCGCGGCAATAGCATCTGCTTCAAACGGCTTTTGAAGTTCAAAGGACCTTCAGAGAAATATGAGAGGATTAAGGAAGAAATAAGAGAACAATTTGAGAGTGAGAACCAAGAGATTGTTACCTCAGAAGAGAAACAACAGGAAGAAACGACACAAACACAAAAGGCAAACGCTTCTAAATCACTCCAGTTTGTAGACTGTGTTTTTGTTGGTTTTGTGGTTTTGTGTTTTTTTTCTGTTTTGGAGACAGGAAATGCATTTCTACGTAACTAAAACAAAGGCTCGCCTTTTTTAAGAATATTCATTCTTTTGAATAGGAATAGCGTTCAAGCTGCCAGTATGATGAATTGACCTGTAACCATTTTTGAATAGGAATAGCGTTCAAGCTGCCAGTATGATGAATTGACCTCTAACCATTTTTGAATAGGAATAGCCTTCAAGCTGCCAGTATGAGGAATTGACGTCTGACCATTTTACTGCACATAAACGTGGTTTCTTTAAAGATCGATCTAAAAACGTTCGACGTTCGACGTTTGACTCAACCTATTCCTTTATTGTGACACTGCTGCTTTTGAAGTCAGTGAGATGCAAATACGACCATCTGTTGGGGCTCCTTCAAGTTAAGTTTGAACATATTTCTTTAGGTTAAGAATCTCTTAATTGGTTGTCTATTACGGACAAACGTTATTTGAATGATGCTATAATGGTCTTTAAATGAGTCTTGCAGCCAGACGGAGAACTTTTTCCATTCGTGGGTGTGAACTATGGAACAGTTTTTGTGAATACTTTTAAACAGAGAATAGCAAACGCATAACGGTAATAGTTATCAATTAATTTGTTCGTTGCCTTTCGTAACTAATGTATACTCTTATCGTACAATTGAAATGTTTTAATATTTTGTCTACTGCTTCTTAATAAGCGGACAAGAGTGAAAAACGTCTGCGCATGCTCTAATACCCTGTGCAAATTATTTGAAACGTCTTCATGATATTGTAAACATATGCAAATTTAACTTTCAAACTCACTTGCCTGAAAAAAAACACTTAACGAAATTCTAATACTTAAGTCAGTTCTTGAAACTTAGGGCTAATTCTTTTACATTGTCTTCAGTTTAATACAGTATATTGGACTCACAAAAGTATACTCACAGAATTTACTGTATACTTGATGAACAGGAACATTTATTTTCTCAAAATCAGTCTAGGAAAATGTGTTAAAAGACACGCATGCGCAAACGTTGTTCTCTAGTGTCGTGGTAGACACTAAGCTCTCGTGATGGCCAGTATGTACTTCATATAAATATCGGTTACGCAACATTCTAGACTGTCTAGTTAGCAAATATTCTGACATGAAGGACTACCCTGTGTAGTAATGTCCGTAACATTACATGATGAATGTTCGTTGTGTCTAATTATATATTGGACGCTTTTCATCCAATAAAGATTCCGGGTCGAAATTTCGAAATGTTCTTTGCTCGTATGGAACGTATCACAAGCCAGTTAGATCGATCATATGATCTTTACCACAGGCATCGTGTGCAAAAATGGCGGACTTTCTAAAAGTTACAGCAGCTTAAAAGGATGATGATTTGGAATTAGAAAATGAGATTTTGCAAAACAGCGATGTTGTAGCTGTGTTTCCTAGGAGTGCTTCTCTTATGCAAAGAAGTTTAAGCATGTAATCATCGACAACGGTGCAGCTTCTTCCGATAAAAACCCACACAAACCACATTGATATAATAATAATAATGATGATGATGATAATGATGATGATGATTGTAATAATACTGATAATAATAACAATAACAACAAAAATGCATAAACTTGCGCTTTATAAATGCCTACTTTCATATATTTCAAATATTACACATGCGTGTTCTCATTGTTTTGTTATAGGTGAATATTGATTGATATTTACCATCAAAACTTGGGATAATGTATTGAAACAAAGATGGCGACTCTAAATTCACATTTAAAAGTGCTTTTTAGTGTAAAATTGCAAACATTTTAGGAAATCCTTAGACTTAAACACAAGGAAGACCTTAAAATATTATTTTAAGAAAGATTGAATGCATAATAAAGACCAAGACCAAGACCAAGACCAAGACCAAGACCAAGACCAAGACCAAGACCAAGACCACTACTACTAGCCGCCTACCAGGGTTTAATAAAAAAGGA